GTTATCTACTAATTATATTATGGAATTCAATAAGAAATAAATAAATAAATGATTTAATTCTATCACATGTGTCGCATTGCAATCTCTTACAGAACAATATAGTCGCGAGCCTTGCGAGATAACTTGCATGTTTGTTTTTCAACTGTTTTCCTCGACGAGTTACCAAATGTTACGTATTCGATGCTGGTTTGACACTAGACTCAATGGAGTGACTCACGATTGTATGTTGTAAATAAAATATGAGTAACTGCTCATACTTGTACGAGATATATAAGTGAATATATTTATATATACATATATAATATAAAAATAGGAACACCACTACCGTGAAAGATTTCGGGACATTGAAAACAAATTAAAAAAAAAAAATCTAAACTACCGTACTGATTTTGATAAAATTTCAACGGTACTAATCTGTAAGCATATCATTTCAGAAAAAAAAAGGAATTTTCCAAATCGGTTTAGAACTGACGGAGTTATGAGGTAACAAATGTAAAAGAAAATAACTACCGAATTGAGAACTTGCCTCTTTTTGAAGGCGTTTGAAAATGGAAATGAAAATTTTTACATGTATTGACTTCACATGTACAGATAGAATGATAAATTAATGTTAGGTCGATTTAACCACTAACGGGAACTACCGTTGTTAATTGATTTTTTTTTATTGATGATAATGAAATGGTTACCCCACTTCCGTTAACGGTATACACTGATGGAGCACCAGTGAAGGGTGATAGGTGAGAATAAAAAGGCAGGTCAGTTAGCCCATCGTGATGAATAAACCAGGAATTCAGCAGGATGGTTTCCAGTGGGGACCACCTGGAGGTCCATCTTATGGGGCATATTGCTAAGAATAACAATCCCTTCCCCCTATCCAACTCATGGATTCGCTTGCCACTTGTCTAAGGAGCTGCTTTCATCCTCACTTATCACTCACCGCCAACGCATACCAATATCGCAAGTGGGGAGAAAGGGATTGTTGGCAATGAAATTTGCCAGCCCCATTGCTAGCAATATGCCCTATTAGGTCGACCTCCACGTGGTTCCCCCTGGAAACCATCATGGACAATTCTTGTTGAATTCGTCACGATGGGCTAACTGACCTGCTTCATCCTCACCTATCATCCTTTACTAGTGCCCCGCCGGTGTATACCGATAGCGAAGGCGGGGTTACCATTTCATTATCAGCCATTAAAAAAAAATATCGCAAGTGGGGTTATCAATCCATTTTCATTCCATTAAAACTACCTATAGTACAAACAAGCCATTTGTCTGGCACTAGATACACCACTCTGAAAATTACTCTCACAGTTGGAATTCCTCACAATTCCCGAATTAAACGGACAGGGGACGCGACGTAAAATAGTTTAACTACAAATATAGCGTCAAGGTGATGTGACACAGACCTTTCCAGCGTTATTCGAATAATTGTGCATCCTACATACATATGTGTACTGGCAGAAAGCGGCAATGTGTGTCAAGTGTAACAGCTTATATGCGAACAAATATATGTGCCCACCGCCATCGAAGGATAGTCACATTTCCTTTTATTTTTTTATAAGGTTGCACTGCGGTTGAAAGCAAGATTTCTTAAATAACACACCGCTAATCGTGAGAACAATTACACTGTGTTGTATTTTGTGAATGCATCGTTATATGAAGTCGGTTAAAGGTTCACTAATGCATTCTAGCTTATAGTTATCCTAATTTTATATATAATATGTATATAAATTTATAATACTAGTAGTTTAGTTAGAGCGTCTAGTGCCAAAAAGTACCAAAAATACCAAAGTAGGGTAGGGTACCAAAGGGAAGTACCAAATATATGTAAAAAAAAATAAACAAAGTGCGCCATTTTTCGGTGTTGCAAGTATATATCTATTTGCCAAGATTATTTTGTCTTTATTTAGATAAAGAGATTAAAAAAGTTGGCCCGTTTTTTTTTGAAGTCTCTATACAGAGATTTTCCATCTACCTACACATTATTCATCTTAAAGTTAGTAGTATACGTATTACATTATTTAGAAAAAATCTAAATTCAATCTCGATATTATGATCACAGCTTGTTGTTACATCACACATGCAAATACTTTTGACGGTCAACAGCCGGACAGACGCGGTCGTCGAGCCGCGCACCGCTTCTCCATTTACTTTCACTCACTACTTTTTTAACTGCTGCCATCTATTGACTAGTAGTAGAATTAATGAAAATAGTGCCATCTATCGGTGAATAAATATAAGAACATTCAACTACTACTTGTATAGATGGCGCTGAATAGAATATTTTACTTTAAGATAAATCTGAAAAAATTATAAAATTAAAATTGTTTAAGTTTTATAGAACAATTTATTAATTTTAATCATAAACAATGACAGAGTAAAAAATAAAAAAAAAAATACCTATTACTCAATCATTAAGCACCTACCTGCATATACTTGCAATAGTACTATTGCAACGTGATGACATGCAATATGCAACTCTAACTCTACATACATAGGAACGATTAGATAAAACGCATACTAACACAAGTGCATTACGATTAATATTTTCGTCATTTTCAGCCGGCGCTGCGTAGTACGGTTGTGGAGTCTGCCTCTGTATTTGGAATGGCCGACAGGCATGAGGTATATTGCATAGCCCGGGATTGCTAATTTCGTAGCATCTTTGGGTCAGTGGACCTATGCTCTGCTGCGGTGAACACAGACGCAGAGGTACGCACTCGATCACGTAAAACTGAGGCGGAGAATACCGGAGCTCCTCTCAGTTACCGCTACTGCGCGGCGTCATTTTGACCTTTTTTTTTTTTAAAGAACAGGACCTAGGACTTCATTCACATGCATCAGAACCATCACACTCTTAGTAAAATGTCAACCTAATACAAAATTTTACCACAATATTTTTTTTTAATACCAAACTGAAAATGTTGTTCTTTCAGATCGGTATATTATTTAAACAAATTTTGATAAACTTTTGAGTTATGACAATCATTCTTTATGTTTGTTTTCATCACAATTATAAAATCATCATCGTCTAAACATCATCTGTTGTCAAATTTATACAGTACATGACAATAAATGACTATAAAAATATACCAACTTAAATCAATCAGTCATTTATTTGCATAAACATAGGTAGAGTTATAAATTTGATATTTTATTATGTGTAAAGTGCTATGTTTTACCGTCATTGGCCATACAAATATTATGACTACATGATGCCCCTTAAAATATATTTTTTAATAATAACAAATACAATAAAAATGTTGCAATATTGTACTAAATAACGTATTGCTTTGTCCGCTTGTCTATATTTATCTTTATTATATATTTATTTAACTCTTTATTACACCAAAACATAAAAACAAACAATGACATATAAACAATTCTACTGAAATACAGTACCGTGAAGTACAGATCTATCCATTCGTGTTTCAACCGTGAAGCAGTTGTGTTTGCATGGCTGTGTTTCGGTTTGAAGGGTGGGGTATGGTAGTGAATTTACAGGGTACAGAGGAATAACACCTAAGTCCTCAGGAATGGCAACGCATGGGGGGTATCATGGGCGAAACAGTATACTCTGTTATGTCCATGATACTGCTCATATCTATAGGCGACGGTTACCACTTTCCATCAGGTGGGCCGTCAGCTTGTTTGCCATTCTAAGTTGTATAAAAAAAAATATATACACTGACTAGGATGAAAGTAGGCTATATATTTTTTTAATGTATTATAATGGAATGGTAACACCGCCTGCGCTAACGGTATACACTGGCGGGGCACCAGTGAGGGATGATAGGTGAGGATGAAGTCAAGTCCGTAGGCCCATCGCGACAAACTTGACAATATTTAATCTCGATGGTTTCCAGGGGGAACACCATGGTAATTGATTATATTGGGTATATTGTTAGCATTGGGGATTAACGTCGAATTTCATACATTACAATAAGTATGAAAAAAACTTAAAAAAATATAAAAAAAAAGTGATCTTTATGAAGATAGAAGATAAGTCAGGAAAAGGTAACAATTTAATAAGGGAACAAAGTAACAAACTTTATTCATTGTCAGTTTCAAAAACAGGTATACACACAAATAGAAATACGAGAAGTATTGTGTAATTTTGACATTTAACTTCATGTCAGGATGGCCGAGCGGTCCAAGGCGCTGCGTTCAGGTCGCAGTCCAGTTCTCTGGGCGAGGGTTCGAATCCCTCTTCTGACAATATATTTTTATTACTATTTTTTCATTTAAATAAAATTTATTTTTCATTTTATTCTTAGAATTGAGAGAAAAAACCACATATTAAAAATGTGAGTTTTAAAATAATAAATGAAAGAAAATCGTGATTATTTTACTGAAATTTCTGTTTTAATCACTAGATGAATCGAATTTTGGTTTAAAAAGCACACATATTTATACTACGAATATAAGTCGAATGCATTCTTCTCGGATACACAGCAGTACTTGAATAATTGTCGCCATAATTTCTATTAGAAATCAATGATACAAAACAACTGATACCAACGTTTGCTAACTATTAAAATAGACATTTTTTTTTTTATATTTCCATTTTTTTATTATTTCGACAAAGTACTTTACTATAAAAATAAAAATTATTAATAATGTAAAATTATTTTCTAATTTATATGTACCAATATATAAGACAAATAGATATCTAAATAAAGGATATGGACAATATTGAGCGTTTTGATTGGAAACCGTATGTCATCGTTCATCTGTCATATACATACTTCGCCCGCGTAATTGAAATGACTACAAAACGTATAGGTCTTCATTATATTTCCAAAATATATACTTATTTATTATTATTATGTGATTTAATTAGGCTCTGTTCACTTCTATATAATTGTTTAGTTTTACAGGTTCCAATGGCAAAAATGAAAAAATATAAAAATTTTTTTAGGTTTAGCTTTTTCTATATCTATGCAATCTATGATCTGTGCTTAAAATTGACATTAATGAATGACATTGATGAGATGACATTTTTCAAATACTCCACCAAATTCCAAATACGGAAATACCTATCTGCATTCTAAACCTTTCCTTCTTAATCTAAATTTTAAATTCCGCTTTATAATTTCTATCAATCGTTCAGTTTTAATTTTATTTATAATTTTCCTAATCGTTAACTTGATTTTTCTTTCTGTTATTTCTTTTTACAACTTTTACTTAGGTTAGTGAAATGACGACTATAAAAGTAAGGGACGAACAAGAAATTATAAACAAACTCGCTTCGTACATTGAAAAGATATCAAATGATGCCATAAACAGTAGAGGGAGATTTTACGTCGGCCTATCAGGTTAGTTCCCACCAATACATCTAACTGTTATATTCCATTCTGTTTTATTTGATAATGGAACACAGATTTTTTTATTAAACTTTTCAAAAAGTATCTCATCTTACTTTTTTTTATTTTTTGACTTTTTTATCTATCACTAACTGATTCCCGTGGTTTTGTCCATTTGCATCAGTACGTAAAGTAGCCTCTATTAAGGTATAAACAGTCTGTGTAAAAAATTCATTTAATTCTGTTTAGCTGTTTAAGCATGATTGACTAATAAACATGCAAACATCTCTACAAACAATTTAAATTAATAAAAGAAATATTTGCTAAATTACAATTCTTAAAGCTTTAATATTCATCATTGTGTAAAAAATATATACCTATTAAGTAAATACAACATTTGTTTTAATTTTTTATGCAACTCAGAATGGGAAACAAGCTGTCAGCTCACCTGATGGAAAGTGGTAACAATCACCTATAGACATCGCCAGTACCATGAACAAAAACAGAGTATACTATGTCACCCATGGCATGAATAGGACAGAGGTACCCAAGCAATTCATTTTTGTATAAAATTGTCCACCTTATTTATATTATATAATTGTGCATTGATGTTTAAATAAATAACTAAAATTGTTGAAGTTTTTATCCAATATTGAAAATTCATCCATTGTTTTCATATTAAATTACTTGCCATTCTAAGGTACATAAAAAATATATATGTCAAAAAACTAAAGTGATCCACCGCCTACTAGCCTCAATCTATTGACCCACCTGTGGCAGGCGATGAAAATGATATCAATTGCTTATAAGTTACCACCAGTACATATAATAAAATCATAACTGGTTGCTATCTGTACATGGAATATATATAAAAAAAAAACTATCATTGGGAATGCAAGAGAACCCAAAACAATGATGTTTAGAATATTTGTCTATTTAACTGTATATTTGTGCATGCTAATCTCAGTAATTACTTAACCGATTTCAATGTAATTTTCACTAATGCATTGTGGTTTGCTTCACTTAACATTTAGTGTTTGTTTTATTTCAATCGGTTCATAAATAAAAAAAATATATCAATCTAAAGAATCACATATAAAATGCTATAAAATAACAGATCAGTTGAATTGGCTGGAACTTTTATCATTATATGTATTGAGTGTCTACTCATGAGAAACCAGGTCAGATCGTAATAGAGAATATATATATATATATAATCCTTGGTACATTTCTGTAATATTATTATGGATAATAATAATAATATAAGTTTTTATTAAAGAAGTAACATAATAAACAATTCAATGTAATTTATATTCAATCAGTAACTGTTTTGTCATGCCTCTCTTGTCCAAAGACAAAGGCTTCCTCCAGAGTCTTCCATTCTATTCTGTTTTTGGCTATCCTTGTCCAGATTGCACCTGCTACTGCTTTCATATTTGTAACCCATCCTGTCAATGATCTTCCCTGGCCTTGGTAATATTATTATGGATGGTTTAAACAAAATAATAGTTTTGTGATGACATCATGATGTACATGATGTCACTACTAGTCATCGACCACCATCAACATCCTAAATGATTCAATATTATTTATATTAGAAATTATAGATACCCAGGTATCATCACAAGCAAAGTTAAAATCTAATTAGAATTTTGTTTTAATAATTTAAGACTACTGGTTTTTAATATAATCTATCTATAGTATTGTGAATGTGAAGAAGACTCTATTTTCCGCGCTTAGCCTCTTATTTGGGCCATTGTGCGTATGAGTCGTGACTAGTACAGCCAACCTAGCTCCGCCCAGAAGCGCAGAAGCTTCCTGGGTTCTTCACAGACCTCATGGAGCAACCTCACCATTCCGAGGATTTCTAAATGTTGATGGGCCATAGCCTCACATTCCAGGATTACGTAAGCAGCCGCTTCTTCGGCGTCGAAACAACCTCGACATAGAGGGCTGTCTGTGGCTCCTATTGTGTATAAATGTTTGCTTAATGGACAATAGCCCGTAATTGTCCCTATCATTCTATCTACGAGGTTTGTCCGGAAAGTACGTATAAAAGTTTTTTAAAAATTTTATTTTACAATTATTCAGGTAAATCAATTTTATCCCCTTCAAAGTACTCCCCCTGTGACATAATGCACTTGTGCCAACGCCGTTTCCACTGTGAGAAGGCTCCTTGAAAGTCCTCTGGTTGTAGGTTTCTCAGCTGCCCCGTCGTAGCTTTTTTTATCTCATTTATGTCCCCCAAATGCCGCCCCCGAAGTACCAATTTGGTTTTTGGGAACAAGAAGAAGTCACACGGGGCCAAATCCGGCGAATAGGGGGGTGTTCGGTCACCGTAATGGAATTTTTACTCAAAAACTCACGGACAACAAGAGAGGTGTGGGCAGGGGCATTGTCGTGGTGAAGAATCCAACGCCCCTCTCGCGCCAATTCTGGACGAACTCGTGCCACACGACTGTCTGACCGTTAAACGACGGTCCCCATTAACACAAGTTCGAATTCTTTCCACGTTTTCGTCGGAATGTGAAGTGGAAGGACGTCCTGAACGTGGGTCATCTTGAACGCTTTCTCGGCCCTCTCTGAATCTTTTTAGCCACTTGTGGACGGTTGGTTCCTTCACAGCATCATCCCCATAAACTGTTCTGAGATCGGCAAAAATTTCACGGCCATTCTTGCCGAGTTTCGAGAGAAACTTGATTACGACGCGCTGCTCTTCAACGGAAGCGGGCTCCATGCCGACGGGGTTTCGTTAAGAGGTAACTTCACAGATGGCGTGACAAGCCAGTTCGCACCGCACGGCGGTCAGACCAGAACTGAAGCATTGTTAGGGACATAAGGAAGGGGTCCTGCGCTTACCTGGCCTCCCCACTCCTCTTTCTCGCATTCCAGAACACTTTTATACGAACTTTCCGGACAGACCTCGTATAGTATTATGTATTATAAAGAAAAAAGATTGGATTGTTTATTTGTGAAAGATAAACTCAAAAACTACTTGAGCAGGTTAAAAAAAAATTATCTTCAGAAAGCTATATTACCAGCAGCCAGTAACACATGCCGACCCGCCTATCAAGCCATATCTTATTGTTGTGTAGTCACAACTTAGAAGGGGCCACCCCTTCCTTTCCCGTGGGTATCGTAAAAGGCGACTAAAGAGGGATGGGCAGTAGCGTCTCACTTAAAATATCAGCAAAATCTAACTGCTGTTACCAACCTGCCTGCTAAGCATGGCAACTACTGGTAAAATTCTCCCTAAAGGGTTGCCTATGTTCAGCAGTGGACAGCTGCTGTTATGGTAATGATGATGATTGTTTTGCCTGATTCTAGGAGGCTCCACTGTAAAATATTTGTGCGAGAGTTTACCCAGAGTGGATACTGAGTGGTCGAAATGGGTGCTGGCATTCTGTGACGAGAGAGTAGTGGCGGAAGACAGTGAAGACTCCACGTTTGGTACATACAAGCGGCGGCTGATTCCAAAAACAGGGCTAAAGAACAGTCAGTTTATAGTGTTGAAGCAGGGTGTTACAGGTAATGGCTTTTGAAGCTAATCTTAATATAAGGGGGAGGGGGACTACCAGTCCCATTGCTAACGTTATGGCGTGAATTTACTGGGTACAGAGGAATAACACCTGAGTCCTGAGGGATGGCAACGCATGGGGAGTATCATGGGCGAAACAGTATACTCTGTTATGTCCATGGTATTGCTCATGTCTATAGGTTACCACTTTTCATCAGGTGGGCCGTCAGCTTGTTTGCCATTCTACGTTGTATAAAAAAATAACAATATAAGGTCAGGTTTACCTCCACGTGGTCCCACCAGGAAACCATCATACTGAATTCCAGGTGTTTTAATAAATTATCGTGTAAAAAAGTATATAGTTCACAATAGTGTAATATATATATATATATATATATATATAATCAAATATTTCAGCTCAAGAAGCAGCCGTGGAATATACGCAACAACTGAAAATAGCTTTCAACGGTGATAATTTCAAATTCGATCTCCTACTGCTGGGGATGGGCCCTGATGGCCACACGTGCTCTCTGTTTCCTGGCCATCCACTCCTGGACGAGGTCAATTTACCAGTGGCGGCGATCACAGACTCCCCAAAACCACCACCGGAACGGATCACACTTACGTTCCCTGTTATAAATAACGCTAGAAACTGTATTTTTACTATAAGCGGTGGCGAAAAAGCAGATGTGGTTAAGGTAACGTTCTATTATTCCATTTTAGATACTTCCTGTACTATTACCATTCGTGTGACGGTGTCGCCCTCTATTGTCAAAAGTTTCTAGACTGTTTTGTATATACTATATAGCTATTATTTTATACATACCCCAATACCACCTCATAGAGTACGAAGCCACGTCTCACGCAAGCGAGCCATCGTTCCAGTGACACGGGGGTAGTTGCCCAAAATGGAAATTGGGTAAATTGTTCGCCCTGTAGCCCCCACCTAACCTTCCCCATTGAGAGGGTCAAAAGACGTGAATTGCTATGTATATGTACTAGCTGTATTTCACGGTTTTTTTTCCACGTGATAAAGCACCCTAAACATGGTCCATGGCTCGATCACCGGTACCCCGCCAGCATATACTGTTTGCGCAGGCGGGGTAATATGTTATTTTAGAACACTAATTAAGGTCTATTTCAACCATATTTATGTAAATAAATTATTATTATATACTAGCGGCCCGTCCCGGCGTCGCTCGGGTGGACATTTTTACATTTTAAAAAGTGACCATTAAGGCTGCACACGCGACGGAAGCTTAAAAATAGAGTAACTTCTCCCGTTTTCCCAACATTTTCCTTCACTGCTCTGCTCCTATTGATCGTAGCGTGATGAAAAGTATACTATAACCTGCCCAAGAGTATGAAGAATAATTGTACCAAGTTCCGTTGAAATCCGTCGAGTAGTTTTTGTTTCTATAACGAACATACAGACGACAGACAAAAATTTTACTGATTGCATTTTTGACATCAGTATCGATCACTAATCACCCGCTGATAGTTATTTTGGAAATATATTTCATGTACAGAGTTGACCTCTCTACAGATTTATTACAAGTAATAGATAGATAATAAATATTTTTTATTTACATTCCACAGCGAATATTAAAAGACAAAGAAGACCTCCCCGCTGGAAGAGTGAATCCCATAGCTGGCTCCGCATACTGGATCGTGGACGACGCAGCGGCAGCGAAATTATAATAATTATAAGGGAATGAGCGCACGGGCTGACATGTCTACGTGACTAATGTTGGGATGGTTATTATAGGGTACCCATACACGGAGCGACAGTCGCAAGAATCTGTCGCATGCATATAACCTTCAGTTATTTGAGAACCTCTAAAATATCTGATGCAATTTCAAAGATCTTTTAATCGGTTACGCAGTTATGCTATTGTGATCGGCTTCGACCGTCGTCAAGCGCAGTGTTGTCAATCTCCCCTAGTTAAGGAATTGATAGATACAGCGTCGCTACCGCGCGCAGGAAATGGCGACTTCTGGCATCTCGTTTTTTCCCGTGTAAGCGTTAATCGAAACAAGTCTATTGATTTGTTTATTTGTCTATTAGTTTAAATTTTTGGGCAGATCTAGAAATTTTTAGCCATTAAAAGATATGTGAATTGAAACTATTCGGCAACTATTTGAAATATTTTACTTTATAGTTATATGGTAACACTGATATGATGTTAGCCTCCTGAGTATACCCATCACACTTTGTTAAAGAATCGTTACTACCTCCGTATATAGGGAGTTTGAGAGTGATAAAATGTAGCCGAGATAAGTCACCTCGTGCGCTGGTAACCTATAGTGTTGTACTGTAGGTACATCTATGTTGTCATTGCATTAAAAACAAATCACATTGTCAATAAGTTTATTTCTCATCTAATAACATCGCCACAATGTTTCTTCATTAACTATATGTACAGATTATGACGTCTTGTGCATTACTTGTTTTGTCACTTGTGCGTCGCTCACTTGTCACTTGTGTGTCGATCGCTTGTCACGTGTGTCATCAAGCGTGATTCCACCGTTGTGGACGTGTAGCCCTGCCCCTTTAATAGATTTATGACATCACACTTTCATAGTGTATTGAGGCTGATGTTATATCAAAAACTTTTATAACTTTCATGAGCGAACCATTTCATATTTTAAGGATTTATTAATTTAATAGCGTTCGCACCGCGGGTTTGTCCACGTGGAACTATACACTGTGTAAAAAAATGTTAATCAGGGCGTCATATATTTTGTAAACCTCTTTTGTACGAATAGACTATATTGATCATAAGCGAGTTCATACTCAGTCTTGCATTTGGCTAATTTTTGGGTGCTTGAGAGCATAACCTATTTTGAGGGCTGGACCCGCGCCTGTGTCATAGCCACTAATGTGTCATAGCGTCGACGTTGACACAAGTGCGTCGCTGGGTTCCTTACTTGTATTGCAACATGTCGAGTTGTCACTCCGGTGTCTTTTGGTACTAGCGTGTCATTTGCATCGCCGTCTATATGTGTTAAACGAACCTGATGCTTGTTGATTAACAATACCGTTAAATGGTAGCTTATAATTTTTACAATATGACTTTTTCATTTTGTCCCTTCATTACTATTCATGTTTATAATTAGTTGATTGTTTAAATAATTAAAAATGAATCTTAAAATTTTAATAAACTGTTAATATTTTGTTATATCAAGGAGCTGAAATCAAATTGGCGTATTACTTTGCTCACTTCTATCTCGATTACACCACGACCGGAGTGGCCGATAGAAATGTATGCTAGAAAGTGACAAGTGATCTTCCATCCTGTTTACTCTCAGCGGTGATGTTGAGACTGATACTAGTTCGTTCTAAATCAAAATTAACATTGTGTAACGTCGGTTTGATTTTAAGCTACTTGTTTGTTATAAGGAAGTTTGTTGTTATCATTCCAATGTTGTACCACTGTGTGGTATATTTTTATATGTCATTACATTCCTGTTATATAAAACCATTGAATTGGCATTGTTGTTTTATTTTGTTGTTAAAATATACCACAGTTCCCCCCCCCCCCGCCCCCCGGGGGGGGGAATGTTGGTAGGGGCACGTGGAACTAGCCGATATTTTTTCTAACAATTTATAACTGTTGTACTGTTGTAAAATTGCATTCTTATATTTTTTTTTATTAAATAAAGATGTACAACAGGCGAGCTTAACTCTGTAAGATTTCTCTTCCAGCAACCCCTGAGTGGAGTTTTATTCAATATTTCTTTCTATCTTAGAATAGAAAGTTTATATGAAAATATAGTAATCGAAATAAAATTTGTAATTACTCGAATTTTTACCAAAAGAAGATGTAGGCGACGCACTACGATTTTAGTTTATTTTCTTATTATTTGTACTTTTTTACCTGTATACCAATATAAATGTACCCACTTATTTGATACAGTCCATTATAAATAAAAATTAAAAATACTGAGGGTACGCACTATACTTATAAAATTAGAATTACCTTTTTTCTTGGTTTAGTGCGTGCTCTGTCAGTGCATAGGCAGCATCTAAAAATCGGTTTTTTATTTCGCATCCCTGTCCCATTCATGTTTCTGCCGTGTAGCAGGTGTTTGCGTGGCTGTTTCAGTTTGAAGGGAAGGAAATAGCAATGCAATTAAAGTGTACAGCACCTTAGACCTTAGGAATTGCAACGCATAAGGGATATCATGGATGATACTGTATACTCTTATGTTTATGGTACTTTTTTTTTCAATGAATGATAATGGAATGGTATCGGTATACACCGGCGGGGCACCAGTGAAGGATGAAGCAGGTCAGTTAGCCCTTCGTGACGAATTCAACAATTGTTCACAATGGTTTCCAGGAGGAACCACGTGGAGGTAGACCTAATAGGGCATTTTGCTAGCAATGGGGCTGTCAAACTCCATTGTCAACAATCCTTTCCCTCCCTGTCTATGGTACTGTTCATTAAAAACGCGTCTCTTATATAAAAACCCGTGGAAATGATATTTTCTCGCTTTCATAAACTACTTTTGTGTATCAACAATTTAATTTTTTCATGTGGCAATGGGTTGATCATATAGCTCGAGGAACCGACAGCTGATGATAGAAAGGTTCTATAGTTGTGACCTAGAACGTTCAAACGCAGTGTAGGAGGATGGCGTGATAACATCAAATGCATTGCAGAGAGGCGGTGAATGCAAGTGACTCAAGACCGTTCTTTATGACAGCCTCTATAGACTGCGGAGCCTATATTAAGCAGTGGACGGATAATGGCCGAGATAATGAGGATAATGTGAATAAGCCAACTAGAACAACTTGCAATGTTCCAGACATGAATGATCGTTATAGAACACTTGATCATTTCTAATCATGGCCGTTTGCGCAGGTACTAATATAGCACTAGGGGGAAAGGGATTGTTAATAATGGAGACTGAGAATTTTTTTTTTATACCACTGTGGTGGCAAACAAGCATACGGCCCACCTGATGGTAAGCGGTTACCGTAGCCTATGAACGCCTGCAATACCAGAGGTATTACGCGCGTGTTGCCGACCCTAAACAACAGAATCCCATTGCTAGCAATATACCCAACCAGATCGACCTCCTCGCGGTTCTCCCTGGAAACTATCATGGTTAATTCCTGATGAATTCATCATGATGGGCTAACTAGCCTGTTTTCATTCTCATCTGTCACTTCACTGGTGCTCCGCCAGCATATCCCGTTAGCGCAGGCAGGGTTACCATACCATTTTCACCCATCAAAAAAAAAATATAGTACTAATCTGTTATCTGTGACGCAGATCGTACATTTTACACTTGGTAGCAATAAAACGAGCACAAAAGTTCCAATATTGGTTTATTCCCTCATACAAATGCCCGCGAGATCAACACACCTGCATTCTTTCACATAAAAAAGACCTCGTCTATAAATTATGGTACTGTTACAATTACGATTACCTATGACATTTTTTTTTTAATAATAATATGTTTAATTACAAAAGTCAACTAAATACAAAAAAATTCGGCGCGCATAGCGTACCAAACACTTATATAGATATACATATTTTTATATATAGATATAAGATATACATAGGACTACAGTTAAATTTTTAAACAATTATTGTATACTATAGCGGCGTTGCCCGCTTGAGAACGACGTCGGCCGGAACTTAAAAATGTATACTATATGAATTATAGTTATAAAACAACCTAATATTGCAATTAAAGTCTAAACTTAATCTCGCTGTACGATACGATATTCGATCGCGACCGACGCCCGCACTTATGAATTTATATAAAAAAAAAAAAAAAGTATAATAAAGTTATTAACATAGTTGTCGTTTCAATTTCCTTTCATTTTATTTTACAATATCAGTTATACATTAAAACGGATACACGTGAGACAACAATGTACCGTTCCGTGTGCCGCCGGCGACGGTCACTCGACAATTGACTGCACGGTGAGGGGGCGCTCGCGCGCCATCTATGTACATGTGTCTAACGACTGTGTTTGGGCCTGTAAGCAAGGAGAACATTGCATTATTCAATTTAGATCATTAATTGAAGACATATTTATTTTTAACGTCACTATTACTGTTTAATATTATGACCAAATGAGTCCTCAAACTAGAAAATATATGGAGAACAAAATTTAGTTCACTTTTACTAGAAAATTTTTTGAAAAACAAAATTGGTCTGAAGTAATACACTTAATCTTTTTGACGATTTTAGTATTAGTTGCAGTTGATAAAAAAAAAAACTATAGAACCATAGACTATACAAGTACTAATGAAGGGCGTTAAGAGTTAAAAGGCGTTTACGACGTTAAGAGGTCTCATTTATTACTGGTCTTATTCGCTTGTTCTTTTTATGTAATTTTTAAATTAATAAATGTGTGCTAGAGATGAAAATAAATCATTTATCTAATCTACCTAAAACGTAGTGAAAACAGGCAAAAAATTGCATATGGGTAAAAATCAAGGAACCCGTACCAATTTGTGGAGGGAGAGGGGAGATGTTTTAAATTTACGGACATTTAAATTATTTTTATACCACTGACGTGGTAAACAAGCATAAGGCCCATTTGATAATAAGCGGTCACCATAGCCTATAGCCGTTTAACGGCTGCAATACCAGAGGTATTACGCGCGCGTTGCCGAACCTGAAGAAACCTCTTTACCGCCCCTTTTAAAGAACCCCATGCTGTAGTCTCTTGGGAAAACATAGGTAGGGAGGTCATTCTATAACCTGAGTGTTGGTGGGTTGGTGACAACGTTGCACGTTGGAAATGCTACTATACGTACCGTGCAAGCGGCTAGTTGGGCGTCCAGTAGGACTGAGAGTACGCGGGCTTGCTCGCCTGGGGCTTGGACGACGCGCTGCGGCCGCCTCCCGCTCCACTCTCCTGTCCGAAACAACACCACCATCAGTATTTACTCAACAATACGTATCTATCCAAGGGAAAGGATAGTGGCCTGTCAGGTTGACGCTAACTGGAACGCGTCATGGTTCATTCCTAGAAGATTCTCAACAATGGGCCAACTAGTCTGTCTCTAGTTTCGTCGTTCTTTCCTCTACTGGTATCCGGACATTGTATACCGCTAGCATACGTAAATACCCCATTCTATATAATTTTTTTATATAAAAAAAAAGTTTACAACCTGACAGACTACTTCCCCACTTAGGAATCTATCTGCGTGAAACTTATTTTAATTTTACATAAAAAGCCAAATTTCTAGTTACAAGTGGTAGGTATATATATATATATATATATATATATATATATATATATATATATATATATATATATATATATATATATATATATATATATATATATATATATATATATATATATATATATATATATATATATATATCACAATACAAGCATTGCCAATTGTCTAAAATCATTAATTTGCATAATTTTAAATATAATATAAATAGTATGAATTCACATACATGTCAAGTAACCGTTAGGCATAACATTCACTAGAAGGCGACTTTGTACAAAAGTCGTATGCTTAGGCACCTCTGTCCCATTCGTGTTTCAACCGTATAGCAGTTGTGTTTGCATGGCGTCTTACGTTGATATGGCGTGAATTTACAGGGTACAGAGGAATAACATCTGAGTCCTCAGGAATGGCAACGCATGGGGGGTATCATGGGCGAAACAGTATACTCTGTTATGTCCATGCTACTCTATTCTGTTATGTTCATGTCTATAGGCGACGGTTACCACTTTCCATCAGGTGGGCCGTCAGCTTGTTTGCCATTCTAAGTTGTATAAAAAAATTTACAATTCGTTGCCATTCTTGATTTTTTTACACATTAATTAATATTTAAAATATATGAATACGTTAAGTATTAGTTTGTTTCCTAAATTCTTCAATACACCGCCTACTTATTTCTCTGTTTGCCCCAAGATTTGACTAGTAGAGAACGTTATCCGATGTTAAGTCCACCAAATGTACATATCGTCATAGTCGTAGAATACTGACGGATCTGACGAATATTACATATAAAGATCCGTCAGTATTTTACGACTGTGACGATATATTCACACTGTGCATTAAACTTTAAATTAAATAAATAATTGAAAAATATGATCTTAGACAACATACACGCTTGTTTTAATTATTTTTAAGAGCTTCACATATTTTCTATGACTTTATTATATGGCTGTATTTATTACATCTATGGAAGTATAGACTTTTCTTTCCAAGCGATATTGAGGCATAGGTGTTAAAAACATAGGGTTCAGTTATGGTCGAGCCTGAAACTAATTGGACAAGCCAGTCTACGACATGGAATTGATATAAATTATTTAATCTGTTTTTCTTTACTTTGCACGATTAGTTAGAAATCTTAACACGCCTTTTTATAAAATTTAACCATATTAAAATGAAACAAAAATAACGATAAAATAAAAAAAAAAAACCTCTTTCATTTATTTATATGTACTGTAAATAACAGTATATATAAATAAACAATTAATAAGTAAATAAATAA